CCCCCTTCCTCATCCCCCTATACTCCCTTTTTTCAAATTAGTTTCCATCCCATTATTCTAAAATTACAAATTGATATTATACTGTTTCAGTATTAACGTAAACAATTTCTAGTCCTCGATTTGGTGTTATAATAAAATATTGTTTCGACTCTCCACTTAACATTTGCACAGCGTGTCTTGTGAGATTTTGGGCACGCAGCCTATACATTGGTATGGATAAACCACCATACCACTTCCACCCACTCTCTTCCTCTTCCTAGTTCTTCTGACTTTCTTGAACCTTGTCTTTGGCTGGAGTGACGATCTGGCCAAACTCATGACCTTCTGTGCGGGGACGGTGTCTGAGAAGAAAGCCCCCGAACTTCCGAAGAGCGTGGTCGTGTACTACCAAATATGCAAGTAAAGAAACGGACAGCGATACCCAGATAGTTTATCTCCAAGAGCTGTCTGTCTCTTTTGTCAGAGAGACCTCCTGCTAAACTGTGCAAAGGTGTATGGGTTTAACGTCTCTGGCAAAACTTTACGGTTATTTAACATGCAGGACTTACAAATTGTACTTCAATCTCCGATAGGATAGAGTCAGATGGAAAAAAAATGTATAGTTTCTTTCTCAAGGATATAACGTTAGATCGAGCTCTCACGATTACGAGTCTGGTAGACGAATGCATGGAAATTTTAAAGTGAAAGGCGATGATTACAAGGTTTTTTGTATGAAAAAATAACGTGGTCACTTACAAACGACCAGTTACACTGTAGAGTGAAATACCTACTGAATATATGAACTTCCGCTGCGATCTTGATGGGGAATGCAGAAAAAGAAAATACTTGAAAGATTATGTTAGGGAGATAGACGCCTTAAGGTATGAGATACAGTTATTCATCCTTTGTATGAAGATTAATTGCCAAGATTAATTGGCAGATAATAAATCAATTAGGGTCTTAACCACCTGACACACGTTACTACGGGTAACATGAAAGCAAATAATTTGGGTGTCCAGAGAAGGAACTCATTTAAAAGGCAAAAGGTCGGTCAGTTTTGCACCACTTTATGTCACATATAAATTCTTAGAAAATCAAGTTTTATGTTAATTTGTGAACTAAAAAAATAAATTCAATTTAGAATCTTGGTAGAATTTTGATTTCTACGAATTTTTGTTTAAATAGGTACAAGATTAACCGAGCTATTGTCCTTTTCTAGACACCTTGAATTAAAATTATGTTTTGTCCTGTAGCGACACTCAAGGTTTTGTGGACTGCGTGTTGAAGCTACGCACAACAGAAGAGCCCCTCCCTCCCGGCGTAGAGATACGGCCGGAGCTGAAGTACTTCCCACTGGCATTTCCCTTGACAACCACCACCTCCATCTTCTGTAATGAGCTAATCCCTCAGCGTGAGTAATCTTAAACGTCTTTAAACACAAGACAAAACAAAAACAAAACAAAACAAAAACAGAACAAAACAATGACACCCCCCCCCCTAAAAAAAACCCAACCAAACAAAAAAAACAAACAAAGCAAAGCAAACCAAACAAAACATATCTATTGCTCTGGGTGGAGATTTCTATTACAAGAAAAATGTGAGGCAGCGTGGTGGAATCAGGCTCTCGTCAATTTTTGGACATGTAGAGTTATTGATATCATGTTAAAGCTTGTTCACTTGTCTTTATTTGGATGCAAAAAATATCCATTTGTCTTGAATACAAGTCGAGGTATTTACAAAAGAAGGAGGTGGGGGTCACCTGTTTTCAGAGGTAAAATTAATGAGAAAATGGCCGCCAAAGATTAGTTATTTCCTTGGCTTAAGAGTCCGTGGTAACTGGAAATTTACATTCATTGTACCTTTAATCAACATTCTTCAGAAAAATCTACATAGAAATGAGTTCATTAATGGGCATGAAAGGCATTGAACCAAAAAAAAAAAAAAAATTTGATAAAAATTCACAAACCTGCAGAAAACTGCAAGTTTCTTCATTTTGATTATTTTGACGAGAGCCTGATTCCACCACGCTGCCTCACATATCTATTGCTCTGGGTGGAGATTTCTATTACAAGAAAAATGATTCATGTCGCGACTCCCCCGCCGACACGATCATGTAAGAGGCGAGCTCTACTTCCTCCTTGCCGGTTAGTGGCCACCACAAACAGGATAGTGTTTTCGCCCAGCACAAGTAAAGGGGTACTTGACAAATTAATTATATTTTCCCCACGTCGTACTCTGCATGGCACCACCAACTGAGCGAATTACACGCCATCAGAGGTCATCCTCGAAATAGGTGGATGCACAAAATGTGTAAATTATCAATCTCTGATTGCATTGCGAAAACATTAGGCTATTCTGTAATACTAAATCTTGCGACCAACTCCAAGCTCAAGACACTTTTGAACTTACTTCCTAAAATCCGAACTTTTTGCGCCATGCCGTAAGCGAGCATGTTGAATCCGAACTTCCATCACTTTTAAGAATCTTGTCAACATAGCTTACTTACTTTACTTTACTTTTACTTTTTCATCCTCTGTTGCCGTTAAGCGTCGAGGGGGAGATGCAGTTTTCTATGGTAGGCCAGCTCCGCAGCTCTTTCAGTTGTGATATTATGTTTTCTTAGGGTTTCCTTGTCACCCTCGATCCACCTTTTGCGTGGCCTTCCTCTTCCTTAATAAATGTGAGGCAGCGTGGTGGAATCAGGCTCTCGTCAATTTTTGGACATGTTGAGTTATTGGTATCATCTGAAAGTTTGTTCACTTGTTTTTATTTGGATGAAAAAAATATCCATTTATCTTGAATACAAGTCGAGATATTTGAAAAAAAAAGGAAGTGGGGGTCACTTGTTTTCAGAGGTAAAATTAGTGAGAAAACGGCCGCCAAAGATTAGTTATTTCTTTAGCTTAATTAAGAGTCCGTGGTAACTGAAAAATTACATTTTTTGTGCTTTCATTCAACGTTTTTCAGAAAAATCCACACCGAAATGAGTTTTTTAATGGGCATGAAATGTGTTGAGCCAAAAAACAAACATTTGAGAAAAATTCACAAACCAGCGCAAAAATGCAAGTTTCTTTACTTTAATTATTTTGACGAGAGTCTGATTCCACCACGCTGCCTCACATTTACTCTCTTCCCCAGCCGCCCACCTGACTTCCAGAATGATACTGTGTCTGAACAGAATGAATGAGTCCAACGAAGTGTGTTCCGTTTTGGCTGCTAAGAAAAACCTGACGATGATCCGACAACAAATTATCCACGTAGCTGCAAGTGGCCTCGTTAACCAGACGTACAACATGTCCTGCGAGTAAGAGCTTGATAATGACGCATGTACGCACCCACAGACACACACACATACACACAAGTACTCACAGACTCACGCACACAGACGCACCCCCCCCCCTCCCACACACACATATAGGTGTATATATATATATATATATATATATATATATATATATATACACACATACTCAAAACCTCTCTAAATGTTTTACAACTTTTTTTCCAAGCAGCTACATCCTACGGCTTTCAGTAATTAAAAGTAAATTATTTACCTTGAATAAATGAATATTCTACGTAGAATATGAATAATAATTTTAATCTACATTTCGTTTGGAAATGTTAGCAAAGGATGGAGACCCCCCCCCCCCCCCAAGTAATTACTCGTATAGTAAATTAATAAGGTTGCTTTTATTTTCATCAATTTCTAAAACCCTGGTTTACGTCATGATCATTAAATAGATGCAATCAACTTCCTAGGGGAGGCGTGTTAACAAAATGAATTACTTCTTAGATACGGACATAGACATATCAAATTTACAAGTTCCCATTAAGCGCAATACCTTAGGACATGTACTAAATGATTATAATTGACACGTTGAACTTGAACAAAATGACATCAGTTAAAAATCTAAAAAGTCAATCCCCGTGTCAGTACATGTATTATATTTGACAGACATAAAATTATCTCAACTTCTGGATTCCGAGAAGTAACTCGTTTTATCAGCACACCCCACATATGTTTGAGCGATATAAATGTACGACCTGTACCCACTCACGAAAGTTTACTCTTAGACCAATTTCAAATTGAAGATACATTACCGGAAGGTACAGAATTAGAATTAGAATTATCAGCGAACCTGACTCTCGTTTGAAACCCCCCCCCCCCCCCCCACACACACACACACCCAAACCCACGTACACTGCATGGCACCAACTGAGCGAATTACACTCCATCAGAGGTCATCCTCAAGATAAGGAGATGTAGAAATGTACATTTTCCTTTTTACTTGTTCCGCCCTCAACTCATTTAATAATAATAGGTAGCGTTTGTATAGCGCATATCCCCGCTCAACAGCAGACTCTATGCGCTGTACACTATATTATTGCCCCAGCAGACCATAGAACATTCCGAAACATTCTCAACTTCCCGGGAAGCATACAGTGCAAGCAGCTGATTAAGCGCTCAAACACTAACAAACTGACAAGATCTTTCGCTGTCTATAGCCGGGTACCCATTCCCACCTGGGTGAAGTGAGGAAAATTCGTGTAAAGTGCCTTTCCCAAGGACACAACGTCGGGCCCTTGACAGGATTCGAACCCACGACCTTACGGTTGCGAGTCCGAGAGCCTAACCACTAGGCCACCTGTTTATCACTGCGCTTTCTTTCCCTCTCCCAAGTGCCATAGCCCCGATGAGAAAGTGTCAGATGGATTCTTTACTAGAATGTGATGAGGACATCTGGCCAATGAGAACCTTTGAATTAGGGCTTCTAGGAAGGTAAGTCTATCTATCTATCTATCTATCTATCTATCTATCTATCTATCCATCTATCTATAACAGGAGGCATAGTTCCTCGCGATAGCACAAAGGTACATATGAGCTTTGGTGTACGTTTGTATTGTAAGTGATATTTTCTTTGATCTACATGTCTTACATCTCCTCTGTCTTTTCCCTCGCTTTTTCCAGCACACCTTTATCACTTGGTCAGTTCCTTCTTTCTTAAGAATGACCTAGTGGAGAGTAGCTAGCGTAGTTTGTGATATACAGCTGATGATCTTAACTCGAATCCCTAGAGGAGTGTTTTTGTACTTGAACTGTTTTTGTCTGTGATAGAGGGTGGGGGAGGGTGGGGGGGAGTATCGAAGGTTCTCCTCCAGTTGACTTGCTCCTATGGAAGACGTATGCCAAGTCCGGCCTCTTAAAATACCGCACAATGTTCACATGAGCGTTAAGTTCACATCATGAAATAAAAATAACAGGCCTACCTAAACAGCCCTTCTTACCCTCGTATCGTGTTGAGATCACACAAAGACAAATTTTTATATATAAATTCCTGCGTACACTTTTTAAATTATGACTCAAAGTTCAAATAATTGATTCACAAAGCTTTCTAGATTTATATCATGAGATCCCGAAGTGAAAGGTACGAACGCCTGTTGAGTAGGGGTCTTGGCTCCCTTCCTTGGACGAAAAACAAATGATTTGCTTTTGAAATGCCCCATCTTTCTGCAGGGATGTACATTCCACACAGTCTCAGGCTGACCTCAGCTGGAAACAGTTTCAAAGACGCCAACCTTTTTAAGCTGCCTAAAATGTCTATAAACGAAAAAAACACTTTTACTTTATTTTATCCGCCGCTTATACCCGTTTGGGTGTCCCGGGAACAAAGAAACAAAAAAAACAAACAAAACAAAACAAAAAACCCTACAAAAACAACAAACCAAAGAATTACAAAAAAAAGAGGTTGGAAAGTTTGTGTTGGGGGTGGGGCAGGGGAGGGGTGGGGTTATAGATTATTTACTACAAGTCATGAGAATGATTACAGTACGCTATAGTTGCCCAAATAACATACCAGAGTTTTTGTTTTATATTTTAGTAAGAATGCTACGGCTCTTACAACACAGTTGTGACATATACGTACTGGAGATAAGTAGAGGTGTCACAAGAGAGTAACAAAAACTCCTGGGGGAGACCTTTCAGCACTTTTTAAGGACCCCCGGGCAAGTGTTGAGTTCCTGCGTGCTGTCGGCATCGCTGACCGTTTATGACGCCACAGCACCAGAAGAAAGAAAGAGAGAGAGAGAGAGAGAGAGAGAGAGAGAGAGAGAGAGAGAGAGAGAGAGAGAGAGAGAGAGAGAGAGAGAGAGAGAGAGAGAGAGGGAGGGAGGGAGGGAGGGAGAGAGAGAGAGAGAGAGAGAGAGAGAGAGAGAGAGAGAGAGAGAGAGAGAGAGAGAGATAGGAGAAGGAGAATAAAAAAGGACGATAGGAAAGAAGGAGAAAACTACGCCAGAACACCCACCAACCACTCACATTTCTGCGTTTGTTTTTGGTGGACAGCTGGTGCCTGGAGCGACATGAGGAAGAGTACCCCGTACCCCCGAGAGGACACTGCCAACTTTCCCATTGCTCCAACACAAGTGCCTCTACCAGTTCCCACAGCTGTTGGTTGCTATGGACGCTAACGCCACCGCTCCTGATGCAAACGTCGCTGTCATGGCTAACGTAGAAGAACGTCGACACATTGATTTAAAAAAGAAAAAGAAACAGACAGTTTTCAATCGCAGTCTGGTGACATGTTTTTTTTTACTTATAGTGCTCAAGGACTGTGACTATCGCTGTGTAAAAAGTGTATGGAGGTGTGCCACCCAGCTCATGGGTACAATATAATATTGTCGTGTGTAAATCACAGATACACACACAACACACACGTACTCAAACACACACACAAACATACACGCACACATACATACACTCACACACACACACACACAAATACACTCACACACACATACACACATACATACACTCTCACACACACACGCATACCCATATGCATGCACGTGCAGAGAGAGAGCAGGAGGAGAAAGGGGGAGAGAGAGTGAGAGAGAGAAAGAGGGAGGAAGAGAAAAAGACTGGAGAAAGAGAGAGAGAGAGAGAGAGAGAGAGAGAGAGAGAGAGAGAGAGAGAGAGAGAGAGAGAGGGGGGGAGAGGGGGGATAGATAGAGAGAGATCAATGGGAAGGGGGTGAGTGAGTGTGAGTGTGCGCGTGCGTGTATGTGTGTATGTGTATGTGTGCGTGTGTGCGCGACTGCTTATATGTGTGTGCGTGTATGCGTGTGTGTGTGTGTGTGTGTGTGTGTGTGTGTGTGTGTGTGTGTGTGTGTGTGTGTGTGTGTGTGTGTGTGTGTGTGCGCGCGCGCGCGAGCGCGCGTGTATGTATGTGTGTTAATGTTTGTATGCTGTTCGTACTTTAAGGATACAGTCGGTGAGGTGTGTGTCAGCATATCAGTTAGACATAAATAAATAAAAATCTAACGAAATTAGCTTCTTTTCGGTTGTGTATCCATCCCTTAAGAATGTTGACAAGACTCCCAATCGACCCCTTTGGTTAGTTCGCCCACTCACATTCAACACCCTGCTTCCCAGAGACCAGCACCTGTGGCGTAGAAGCTATACCCTTCACCACTGCACAAAGAAGACACGAGTTCGATTCCGTGTGGGGAAAACTTCCATCAAGTATCCCACCATCTTTCTTCTTGAACGTTATGTCCTTCTCAACTCGGATAGGCCCTGATAGACAAGGTCAAAGTTTGCCTCCTGAATGACTTAAATTGTGTTGATTGGAGCGTTAAACATTTACGGTTACTACTATAATATATTAGGTCGCCCGAGTACAACAACCGCGTATCCCATAAAATCACAATTTTAGAGGAGAAGGAAAGAAACTTTGTCATGTCATCTAAAAATCTTTGTTAAAGATTAAAGCCTGAATGTTGCACTGGCGATGTTTTTTTTAGCTACTTGTCTAAAAATCTGACACAAATTACACAACGTGACATTCAGTATAAAAAAGAAAAAGAAAAAGATATTTGACATAGTATGGGTTACATGGATTTTGTACTCATGCGATGCCAAAGGAACACCCCACCCCCCTACGGGGAAGTGCCACTGATTGTAGTTTCTCTAGGCCATTCCCAAAGGGGGGACATTTCTCGTTCAAGCATAGTAGAATTGTAAATGGGCTGATTCATGTCACGCTCATAACTGTGCCTGATCTACAACAAGGAACTGCTGCTTTTTCTTCCCTAATCTTTACTATTGTCATTTTCCTCTACTTCTTTTGTATGTTTGTCACTCTCTTGTGACCTGCTACAACCGGGGTGCCTCGATAGTCGAAGCAGACCTTGTGCTGTTGAAGCTAGAGGTAGGTGAGCTGAGTAAGTCTGATTCCCTGTAAAGACTTCTCTGTTGACACCCACCCCTTGGCGCTCATATGACCTTATGCAGTTGCGAACGCCGTAAAACCCTCTACTATAATAATAATTTTTAAAAAAATGAAGGAACACACTTAGGTGCCGCCTAAGGTACAATAATATGTGACCAACTTGATAATTAACTGTGCGTGCTATGTGCGTTATAGTGGTATGTGGCAATGGGTAAACGTTGATATGGGTATTGTAGTACTAGCCGAAGTTTTCACCCCATCACCAACAAAATACTACGGATTATGAAAAACGGGCTTTACCCGTTATGATTTTGGGCTCAAGGAAGGGTTTTTCAGCACCCTTGGCAACAGCTGTGCCCAAAACTATCAAAATGGAGACTGTAGTTAGTACACGAAAGCACTCAGTTCGCAATACGTAGGCATAGATCTACTGTAAACTCAGTTGGTATCATTCTTGTCCACTGTGTTGATAGATATCTTGTTATTGTTCCAACAATTCATCTCGTAACATGGGGCCTTTCTATTGCCACTATTCGCACTGTTGATATCCTTCTTGTCTATGGTGTGGATGACTATTTATTTTCCTATCCCCAATTACTTACTGCTTACTGCTCCCATAATCCACGAGGATCGTAATGGCGTTGTATGATAGAGAGCCTCATCCGGTGCCTCCACTTTTCACGGTTTTATTTTTTGCGAGCTCTTGAGTTTGGACGAAGGATTTCCCTGTCCACTCTGCAATGTTGTCGGCCCACCTATTTCTTTGCCTTCCTCTCATAGGAGTTCTTATAACGAGGGTTATTTGGGGAGTTTTCAAGGCTGTATTATGTATGCATACTCAGTTCGGTCCTTCAGAGACGGACGTTTTGTTTGGGGGCCTCCGCCTGTTATGGTTGAATGAGGTGGAAACTCTTTATCAGTCTATAATTTAGTTCCTCTTTATCAATCTATAATTTAGTTCCTTGACTATCCTTTTTTCCCCAACATGTATCATTTCAATCACACATAAAACTTTTTAGTTGCTTCTGTTACTTTTTCATATTTTGATGGTCTCAAGTGAGCTGATAAGTGTCCTTAGAAGTCTTTTGCTCTTAATTTACAACAACAAAAAATCAATCATTTGATATTTCTTCAAATGCTCACTTCTCGTTATACAAAATGTCAGGAAAGGTACGTTTTCTCCATAATCACACCAAACGGTAATTGGGTGACTTGCTGTGTTCGTCAAGGCAAGCACAACAAAATCAGTATTTTTTATTTCGAATTTATTCTCCTAGAAACTATGCATGTGTAAAGTTAAAAATTTGCGTGAAAAATGAGGAAGACCCCGAGGGTGTGGAATCCTGAAAAGCTATAAAAGTACCATTTAAGTTGAAAGTAAGAAAAAGTGTGTCTGTTCTACAGGAATTCCTGAACATCATTCTGAAATAACCATTACTGACATGTTATTGCTGTAAATTAAAAAACGCGTTTGTTTAAAAAGTTATTAAGAGGAAATAAACTATGAAAAGACAAATCAGCGTCAATATTGTTAGGATTTATACAAACGAACTCTGTGTGTGTGTGGGGGGGGGGGGTAACCACAATATGAAAAGAATGAAGAAATGATTCGCTTCCATCTTTAAAACGCAGGAGACTGATCATTGCTTGCTGGCTGCTAGTTTCTTCTTTCGCCTGAAGGTCTCGTCAAACACAGAACGGTATTTGGAACTCATTTCGTAGTAAATGAAGATGTTCACAGCAGAATTCGTTGACTCGAGAATATAAGCAAAGGAAAATAGGACAAAGTACAGATTGTGATATCTGCCGTCTATAGATAGTCCAGCAACTACAGTTTTCCCAATAAATATTAGAGAAACTGGAGTGAAGCAAATGATGAACAACGTGGAAATCATTGTCACCATCTTTGTGACTTTCTGATCACGATTAGAAAAGTTGTCGGATTGCCCCGCGGCAGTGGACTCGTTCCGCCATCTTGTTTTGTTTTGTAGCTTGACGACCAAAATGACAGTGCAGACGATGACGACGGCAAAGGCGCTGAAAGGGATAAAAATATTGTTGATGACGTAAGAGATTCCCTCAACTTCTTTCCTGTCGTCGGTGAAAACAAGACCGATAAGAGTTTTGTTTCGATCAGGGAAAAACTTCATGCCGTATCTGTTGCTGTAGTAAACTGGTGCGACGCTGCCAATGAGGATGACGAAGATGGAGACGATGACGATGACCACTCGTTTTGGAGTGATTATGTTTTTCACCTGAGGGGCAAAGTGTTGTCACAGTTTTATATGCAAATACAAAGGAGCTGAGAAGAGAAAGCTATCTCTTTTTAAATTTTTTATTATAGTAGAGGGTTTTACGGCGCTCGCAACTGCATAAGGTCATATGAGCGCCAAAAGCTATCTTTTAAGAGACAAAAATCTGTGTGTAGCCTCTAGCGGTTAAGGACGGGGCAAATAACGAGAAACAAAAACTGTTTTTCCCCAGAGCGAGTTATGCATATCTCCTCTTCTTCGGCACCGACAGGATTGTATTTTATGATTCAATAGCAAGTAAATGTCTAAAACTGGAGGAATAAGCCATACTGGGTAAACGTAAGTTTGAGCCCTTCATCCGGAACTTACTTTATCTACTACGTAAGTTCGAGTTCGAGGTCTCCATTTGAGCTGCCTAAACATTTCTGTTTACTTTTCCCTCGTTACCGTGCTATTGTAGCTACCTGCCAACGTCTATAACTTTTCTTCCTCATTGGGTGTTAATGTTCATCTTCAGTTAATGATAGACGAAATATTTTATCTTTAGTCTTTACTGAATACATACAACAAAGACAACCAACGGTTGATTTATCAATGCACAAAATACAAAATGTACGAAAAATGGAACCAGCAAAATCATGATGATAATATTTAACAAAATGTCATTGGAATTAATGTTATTATAATAAAAAATATAAAAACAATAAAATAAATAATAAAATAAATAATAAAATAATGATATCACACTTCGTGAGCACGACATATTCCACGTTGCCTTATTTCCCCGTATGGCGGCATGGGGCCAGACGAACTGACCTTGCAAGCCGGATATAGCCCATGGCAGGACCGCAGTTTGGTGGCCTCTGACCTCTACTGGTTGGACACTTTCTCAGAAACGAAACAAATCTTCCTCATCGGAGCTAATTTTAATGTACGGTAATATAACACAGCGCCTAAACGCAGAGATCTTAAAATGAAATAGGATAAGGTAAGATACATCTTTTTTGTCCAGATCCTGTCATATTGGTTTGGTGTTTCACCACGTACACACATCTTGTCTATATACTTTCTTTCGAGGTGGCACGTCTCGCAAACAATTATCTTTAACTTGAATAAATACACGTAGTAGCCAGACCTACCTTCAGAGGTATTGCAATACACAGACACCGCTCGAACGTAATGAAGGCAGTGATGCAGGCGGTAACACGAGTGAAGATCACGTGAGGCCAACCTCCCGTCAGGTACTGAGAGGGGGGGGGGGAGATTTGGTAAGGGTTTGACAGAATAAGCAAATTCGTGGGCTATTGGCAGTTGTATAGGCGGTTGCTTTCGACATTGCAAGGTTATTTAACCTGTACGCTCTGGGGTCATTTTGTACCCCCGGGGTTGTATTCTTCACATTTCAGAATACTTCTAGCACGAAGATCTCTTTGAAACTTTCAGTATTTTACCCAAAAAATCATATTGGCAGACTGCTATGTTAAGCGTACGGATCGGAGTATCCGAAAAAAAAAAACAACCAGCCCCCCCCCCCCCAATAAAAACAAAAGACAAAACATCAACAACAGCCAACAAACAATAACAAAAATTTCAACCCCCCAAAAAAACCCCTCAGAAACCCCAAAACAGATCAAAAGTAAACATAAAATCAAAGCATAATATTATCATTAATACCAATGATTAAAATTTCTTCACTCTTCCACTACGTGCATGTACGAACCTGCATCTCAATGGAGTCAAAGGGCAGGTCAGCGGCGTGGAACAGCGGGTTGAAGCAAATGTTGTGCCAGACAAGGGTCACTAGACAGCCCAGGTCAGAAATGGCTAAACCTGGTGGACGACACAGTGCATGATCTTTGAACTCTTAGTCTAGAAATGGCAACAACTTAAAGTATGGGGACGAGTTTTACGTTATCGATCACCACTTTTGAACTTAAGAAATGGGAACAACTTAAAGTATGGTGACGGTTTCTACGTCAAAGTTCACAACTTTTGAACTCCAGAAATGGTTGAACGTAGTGAAAAACATAGTTCATAATGTCTGAACTCTAGAAATTGATACATCTGGGAGACGACAGGCTATAGTCCATGACCTTGGAACTTAAGGAAGGGATAGACCTAGTGGACGACACAGTTTATGGCCTATGAACTCTAGGGTTCCATCACCAGTCCAGGCCATGACAACCCGTGAAATATTTTGTTGTTGTTCGTAAACCTGTAGCAGATGTTATTGCCTCCATCCTTGCACAGAATTTGAAACTAAGAATTGTTGGTGGCAGGCTGTTCCGAAAGTGCTTGTCAGAGCCAGTACAGACAGTTTGGGATACCATCATGGCAGACCCCCCCCCTCCCACGGGAGACATCTAATACACCACCTTACTTATCTGAGAATCAAAATATTGTCTCCTGCGCAAGCAGGAAGAATGCCAGCTCCAGCTTGATACAAATCAAGGTCTGCTAAAGACATGGGACATGTTGTTAAAGTTTGGCTACGGGTATGGGAATCTAGAAAAAAGGAAACAAAACAATAACAAACAATACAGAACGACTAGCAACACAGCAACAGCATCATCATCAACCATACCACTGCCATCAACAACAACAACAGTAGCAGCAACAGCAACAATAGCGACAAAAAAAAACAAGATAAAGATCAACAACAGCAGCAGCAGCAACAACAACAACAACAACTAAAATAACTGGCACTGCAGTAGAAAGCCCCTCCCCCCAAGTCCGTCCTTTTACAAAAATAAAAATGAGGGCTCTGGTGGTCACGAGGTTAAGGTATTCGCCTCTTATTCAATAAGTCCCAAATTCGAATCCGGATAGCAAAGGAACATTTTCTTCTCTAAAATTGTCCTCTTTCACATCATTTCCCCTTCTCTAAAAATGTTCTGTCGTCTGCTTTCGTCTCCACTTTCTGCCCCCACCCCCTCACCTCCTTGGCCCCCTCCTCTGGGCTCCTGACTCTTTCAGCAGCCTTTCTACTACTACTCCTTGGCTCCTTCTTACTGCCTTTCAACCGCACCCCTGGTCGTATTGCAGGTAAGATCTTCACCTAGCCTTCTCTGACAAGGGCCAACAATTTCGGAGGTCCCGTGTGCAAGTTGCGCACGTTAAAGATCCCTTGGAGGTCCAAAATCGATGAGCATAGGCTTCCGCCGCAACCTGTGGCAAAATTGAAAATTTCCTACCAACTGAAACTGTTTAATGTGTCCCATGCTCTCCGATGGCCCTTATGCAGTTATAAGTGCCGTAAGTCACTTACAAAACAAAACAACCCCCCCTCTCAAGAAAACACTCAAAACAAAACAAACAAAAACAGAAAAATACACGCAACCCCCTATGTCACCGCGAGCTTACCGAGCAGACTGACGTTGACGGGATCACTGAAGCCTTGTTTGACAAATACGATGATGTTCATAACGTTGGTGACGGTACCGAAGACGTCGATGATCTCACAGATGATAGCGAAGTTAATGGCCTGGAAGATGAGTCTGGTGAAGTCGCTCATCAAACCCTTTTCTTCAGAAGAGGAAGATGGGCTCAAAATACTCGAGATATTATTACTGCTCATGGCAAATCCCCTTACTTATCTGAAATCGATAAACAGTGACTTTGTCTGGGGAATCAGACAGATTGAGCGATGAGCTAACCTACACCTTGTCACACCTTGTCAACAGTGCTGGGGTCACTACTGTCGGAACATGTCCATCATAAAACGCTGTATCAGAAAGAAAAGTGAAAAAGCACAATAAATGAGATGATATTTTCATTTTTAAAGGAGGAAGTGTTTGCTTATGATGATGATAGAGTAAAACAAAAGATAGAAATAAAAAAGAAACGATCATCATGAAGGGCCAGATCTGAAGGAGACATCGACGATCATGGTTCGACATATATTTCTTTGCTTTGATGCGCTAAAAAAAACCCTAAGCAGCCCTAGTCTTTCCCGTCACTGATCTGATCTGGTTGTGTGAGTAAGGTGTTCTCGGTATACCTCTTCCTCTGTTGCCTTCTAGTTTTTCCAGTAAAAGTAAGATGTCCAAGCCATTTATGTCGATTTAAGTGTCATGGAATCTGAATGTGTCCCTTCGTAATTGTTATTATTAGTGAGCAGCCCACACTGGCTTCTTTCAGTACCGGTACTACCAATTTTGATTTCTTTTTCTTTCACAGAATTCGCAACAGTTCAAAGAAAGGAATAAGTGAAAGAAACACCAAAGTAAACGGCAAAATGACTAGGAGAAGGACTTTAAAAACTCTAAAGGGCCTATGATTTAATTGTGTCTCTTTTCTCTGGTTTACTCGACATTTTTCAACAAGATATCTATTGGCAATGCGGACACAACAAGATTTTCTTTTTCTCCTATGGACTTGCTTGTTGACACTACTTGTTTAAACTAAGAGTGACAACTCTCGAACGAGCACCAGCAACAACCCCCCCCCCCCCCCCCCGGAAAAAAAATACCGATTGCCAACACCAGATCTTTACACAAAATATAGCTTACCTGGGGGGGGGGGGGGGGCACATAATGATAATATACCATAGTACAGAGAAAAAAGAACGATAAGTCTTCTTTTCTACCCTTTTCCAAACATAAAAAGGACTATGTTTCTGAATCTGAAGGAAAAAGAAAATACCCAAACTTTCTCTCTAGCTTCCCATACACCCTCAACGACGAAGCCAACACCTCTTTCCTTAGATACACTGATCGAAACAAAGACAACACTTCCGTTCTTTTATCCTCCTTCCACACAAAAAATCCACCTTAAAAAATCAGATAAAACAAAACAAGTCAACAATTTATTAATAACAGGCTTCTTAGCAAGGAGAAAGCGGTACATTTCGCTTTTGGCCGTAGATTTTGCCATCATTTAACAACTTAAATGGCATTCAAATTGCTCTAATTATTCACAGGGGAACAACAGCGCTCCAATCGCTCCCAGTCATGTATGAAAGGAAATCCCAAAAAAAAGGTCTCTAAACATTTCCGGAACTGATTGCAGAATTACTTGGCCCACAAAATGACAAGGAAAAATTGAAACTTGAATGAGAACGAGTGACAATTTAAATGTTCGATATTAATATTAGAATGTTTGTTTTGCGACTCCATGTTAAGTCAATAGACATAATTGTTTTGTACCCTTGAGGAAACCTAGTCAATTTTTGGGTGCTGAATAAGACGACGGTGTTATTAAGTAGGAGAGGAAGCCTTGATTTGATTGGTTCGGGATTCTATTAGTATTTGTATTAATAACGCTTCGTATGCGTTGATTTGGGTTATTTTCTGGGTGTGCAGAGAAGTAGGCTACCCTCTTTCAGTTGTTAAACATCAATATATCAACGACTTACTCTTTGTTATAGCATCCACTCAAGTATCGTTTGGATAATTTTGAAAATGATATTTGTATTATGAGAGCCGTAGAAATCCATACTCGTTAAAGTTACAGAAAACAAACTTTGTTGGAAAACAAAATTGCGTTCAACTTTAAAGTGTGTCTGTCGTAATTATCCCTCTCCCCCCCCCCCCCCACCCCCACCCGCCCTTTTTTCAAATCAAAATATCAAGTTAAAGCACAGACAGACATTTAGATACAAGAAACACCCTTGATTCGGCGCGAGCCACGCTGGGCTGGGTGGCGTCAGTAGCCTAGTGGTTAGGCTACCGGACTCGTAATCGTGAAATTGCGGGTTCGGGGGTTCGAGCCTCAGCTCGGTCCGAGGTTGTGTCCTTGGGAAAGGCACTTTACGCGAATTTCCAATTTGGTTCGTCCTTTCGGAGATGGACGTTAAACTTGAAGGCCCTGCCTCTTAAATAACCTAATAGTGTTGATAGGGGCGTTAAACCTATACCGTTTCTCCATTTTCACGCTGGGCTGTGTGAACTGACAATTATACTGCGCTGTTGGCAAACATATTATAGTATTTGCCTTTGTCAAGGAATGTCTTCTCTTCATGGTGACTTGGATTGGTGAGCTGCCTAGCTAGCCGACTTCATCTGTGCATACAGAATTTCCGAGGGATAATCTCTCTCTCTCTCTCTCTCTCTCTCTCTCTCTCTCTCTCTCTCTCTCTCTCTCTCTCTCTCTCTCTCTCTCTCTGTGTGTCTCTCTCTCTCCTTCTCTATCTCTGTCTGTCTGTCTGTCTGTCTGTCTGTCTGTTTGTCTGTCTGTCACTCTCTCTCTCTCTCTCTCTCTCTCTCTCTCTCTCTCTCTCTCTCTCTCTCTCTCTCTCTCTCTCTCTCTCCCCCCCCCTTGGGCGGGTGTTGACGCTCGGGAAGTAACGACGAGATTTCGGAAAGACTGTTTATAATTTAACGAAGAAAAAAACATCGCCACATTTTCAAATGTTAGAAGAACAAAAGAGGAACATACTGAAGATGCTAAGCGTAGACTGGCCATTGCAGAAGAAAATGCGACAGAAAAGATACAGAACAGATACAGAAAAGAGGTCTTGTACAAGACTGCATATCTGGGCTGATTGACCAACACGCATTCTCGTATGAGATGTGCCAGAAAATGCTCCCATCCTCGCTGTAAAATAGTTCTTTTTACCAACATTTTACCCGTTGTTCATGGAGAATCCAGCACGCAAAATGTGTAGGTTTCTACTCAAATGTGAGGCAGCGTGGTGGAATCAGGCTCTCGTCAATTTTTGGGCATGTAGAGTTATTGGTATCATCTTAAAGTTAAAGCTTATTCACTTGTCTTTATTTGGATGAAAAAGATATCCATTTATCTTGAATACAAGTCGAGATATTTGTGAAAGAAGGAGGTGGGGGTCACTTGTTTTCAGGGGCAAAATTAGTGAGAAAATGGCCGCCAATGATTAGTTATTTCCTTAGCTTAAGAGTCCGTGGTAACTGAAAGTTTACATTTATTTTTATGCCTTTTAATCAACGTTTTTCAGAAAAATCCATACAGAAATGAGTTTTTTAATGGGCATGAAATGTGATGAGCCAAAAAACAAAAAGTTGATAAAAATTCACAAACCTGCGGAAAAAATGCAAGTTTCTTCACTTTGATTATTTTGACAAGTGCCTGATTCCACCACGCTGCCTCACAAATGCATGCTGCAAGCAGTACAAAATAAGTATAATCTAAACCAGGATTTGATACATAATACTTCCTTTCGTCATCATGGAATCTTCTGATGAAGATACTAAGATTGCAATAGTATTGCTAATAAATACAAGAAAGAAGAGGAAAAAAAGCCCACCATGTGGCGCCGTGAACATTTTCTCTTGAGGAGCATAAGAGGAGAGCTCCAAAGAACGTTCCGCTCATTGATGACGCGGGAAGATGACATAATTATTGTTCTTCAACTATCGAAAAAAGTCACGCAAAACTTATAGGGAAATCATGATACTATAGTGCGGTCAAAAATTCGTGGCGCAACTTATTGTTAAATCTCTCCTCAACTATCACTGGATCGATAACAACAACAACAACAACAACAACTCCTCAACTATCAAACATAAACTCTCCATCTTTTGCACAGTGACTTGTATCAATTTGTCTTAACGGATCAATATTTTTTGTAAACATCTGTCAGCTCTATTCTAGAAAATTCTTTAATACACATTAATAAAAAATCCCAATGGGTGGTTTCTATTGGTTTTAAAAGGTTTACAGCCGGGACAATATCGCTTCTATAAGCAAGTCTGTCATTTTTTTCTAATCGCGAGATTATTTTTATTGAACGCATGTTTGGAGAACTTTTAGAGCAAAAAGTGTTTACTATAAAATTAATTTCTTGTAGCTAGTTTTGTCATTAAAAAAGGTCATAGGTCAGCTGTGACGCAAGCCATATTATTATGCAATGTGTGTCAGAAGCGAGAACGGCTGTGAACAATTCCATTTTCCGTGTGGAGGAGATTTGTAGTATCTCTACATAATTGTTATTATATTTGTGAAAGTCCGTCACTTTGGCCGCCTAAAATTTCGGAACAGCTTAACTTTCGAATTAGACCAAATTAATGGTGGTTCAGAATCTTTTAAAGGGTGCACCGTTTTATTGAGGAGCCTGAAGTCACTGTAGTTTAATTTTCAGTTTTTCAATAGTTTCGTTTAGATCTAATCGTGGGAAAATCCGTCTTCTAACACACAATTGTAAACAAGTGAGGTTTCCGTTCACTTGCCGTGCGCGCTCATGATTTCACACCTTTGCAATTCTGGAGTGTACAACCACGAAAGCGGAACAGAGAATAAATAGATACATATATATTGGGCAACTTGGAAACACATGTGTCACTCTTCTCTCAAGATGTACTGCTCCATTCCAGTCGAGTGTAAGTATAGTAGGCCAATGACTTTCAGTTGATGATAATGCACCGATCATTCCTTTCATCGAAAGGGGGCCCAGCTAGTTTTATATAAATCAATGAAAAAAAGTTTTTCTTAATCTAGCCTCACTTGTTATGGACAAATGGTTAAGTTAAGACAAACTGATAAAAACTGCTGTACAAAGTGTGGGAGACAATGATTCAACCCTTTAAAAAATAATTTGAG